TCTATAGTATTATATAGTTGTCGCATATTTTTAGGTATCTTCGGCTCAGCTAACATGAAAAAAGCTGCATGTATGCATATCTATATATTTTTGAAGATTTGAAGATTTTAATTCGACATTATTATAACCAATTTTTATACTTTATTTAATGCCACAAAATCTCAACACTGGTTATAAAACCATATAACGAAGTTCCACTTTTGTTTTTTGTTAAAAATCTGATGGTTTTTTATAAACATATGATCTCTAATTTTTTCAAATAAAGTTTAACTGCTAAATTATAAAATAAACTTTTTTTCATAAGAGTTTACAGAATTTAAATGAATTAGCAGGATTCTAGCGATTTTTGTTTACTAATCTGGCGGGACGGCAGAAACAGAAATGGCAACACTGGTGGTGAGTACCGACTTGCTTACGCGCATATTTGCAGTGTTGCCAACTTTTGATTTTCAAAAGGCACCGAAAACTTGTGAAAAACGCATTTTACCACACTAAAAGCACCAAATATTTTTGAATAAAAGGATGCTTTTTTCATAACGGTTTGTATTTAACAAAAGCAAAAAATTAACAATATTTATATACATAAATCAATACACGAAACTTTTTCGCTCATAACGATTGAATAGCCTCTACACATGCTATGATGACTCATGTATGACGTGGAACCGAAGTACTGCCCATTAAAGCTGGTATATCTCGAGAAAAAAAATCGAATCGCAACAAACGAATATGATGCCCTAAGTAGAAATGCGCAAAAAAATTTGATGTTTTCATTATATAACCTCAAATATAGCCAAAAACCATGTTTTTGGCACTTTGAGGTTAGGATATCTAAAAAATTGTAGTGCTAGAGCAATTGTGCGTCCAGATTTGGATTCAGCACCCAGAACGATGTGTGTTACTCCGGAAGTAACAAAAAATCAAAATTTGTGCAAATAATTAGAAATGAAAAAAAGAAATATGTACTTAACTTACTTGACCATGTGACGTTCTGCGTAGGCGATCGGATTGCGCTCGTATGCCAAAAGGTAACGTACGCGCTCCCTTACCTACGGAGACTGATAGTAGAAAACCTTATACCCATCTTCGCACAAATTGGTTGCGAAGTAAGAAGAGCTGAAAAAGTTTTAAAAATTGTTGCGCAAGCGCCCAACGAACTTCCCACGTGTGTTCGGCCGCATGCCTGCTTGTGCTTTGTGCATATTCTATTTTTAGCGCATGCTGGTGTGTGTATGTATGTGCGCCATTGTGTTTCAGGAAGTTAAAGTTATATGGAAATGCTTCTAATCTTCATAAACACATGAAAACTCACAATTTAAATGCAAACACAAGCAGGTAAGTGCAATTTAGAAGCATTCAATGCAGAAAAAGGATTGGCATTGTGTCTTTATAGTGTTGCAGAAGAAAATACCTCAACGGAATCGCCTCGCAGTGAGGTAAAGGAAATGTTCGAAAATCAAGAATGATAGAATACAAGATTGCGCCGATCAGAGAGGATTTTTGAGAATAACTTTTGTGTGACGTCACACTGGTGCAATTGCGAGAGAGAAATGCCAAAACGTGAGCAAGAATGGAAGTTCGAAAATATAAAATTACACAAAGGTACTTTTTATGAATTTGTTATTAGAAAATTATAATTGTCGGTCATAATATAATAGACGGAGGCTTGAAGCATGAGAATATAACCATGGCGCTTTGCTACTTCATCTGTAAAGAAATGCGACCATTGCACATCGTCGATGGAAAAGGATTTATGAAATTAATGCGCGAAGCAGCGCCGCTGTACAAAGTGCCTTCGCGGAAACCAATAACTGCAAGAATTTGCGAAAAGTTTGATGCGGTATCAGTGTTCTACAAAGAGCGTTTAAAATGTATAGACGAATTTTGTATTACAACTGACATATGGATGGAAACAATGGCCGAAAAATCTTGTCTGGGAATGACGGCTCATTTTTTAGAAGGTAACAATCGAGTTAATGTGATACTAGCCACACGTGAACTGAATCAGAGTCATACAGCACAGAATATATCAAATACAATGAGGGAAATTTTTGAAGAGTGGCATATACCGCCAAAAAAAATATGTCCTCAGCTGCTAAAAATATTGTTAACGAAAAGAACTGTTTACCATGTTTCCCACATACAATCAATTTGATTGTAGAAAGTGTTTTTAAACATGAGGAAATAAAGCCTTTGATTTGTAAAGTTAGGGACATTGTAAAATTTATCAAAAACAGTGTTAAGAGATCCGATATGCTTAGAAATTTACAAATGCGTAATGGAATCTCAGAAGGTTCTGTGAAAAAATTAATACTAGACGTAAATACTCGATGGAACTCCGTTTTTTACATGCTCGAAAGATTTTTAGATATGATTTCAATATGTTCAGAAATCCTCTTACACGATGTACGTGGCAGCCCAGAGATGCCTTCTGTTGTTGAGATCGATCAAATTAAGCAATGCGTTAGATTACTACAACCGTTTGAGTTTATATCTCGGGACTCCGCCGGAGAAAATTATGTAACGATTTCAAAATTAATCCCAATGATAAGCTGTTTAAAAACACAAGTATCGGAGTTTTCATCGAATCTCACCCTACTGAATGTTTAAAAAATAATAATAGAGACTGAGATTGTGAAAAGGTTTGGTTCACTAGAGCATAATACACATGCGGTAATCGCTACAATCCTGGATCCAAGATTCAAAAATATTCACTTTAGAGATGCCCAAGCTTGTGCCATACAAAAGCTCAAGTTGTTAGCTTGCGAATCAAACAACATTGATAACCAATCAGAATCAGATGACAATTTAACTGAAGAATACGATTTTTGGAAGTCACATAAAAAAATTGTTGGTAATCAAAATCACACAAAAAATAGTCCCCAAGACACAGTATCTTTGTATTTATCTTCTCCCTTATCATCCCTAATATCAAATCCACTTGAGGATTGGGAAGAAGTGAAGTCATTACTTCCAGGATTATACAAACAAGCCCGATCTTATTTGCTCCCAGTAGCCTCATCCGTTCCATGCGAGAGACTTTTTTCCAAAGCTGGAAATACTGTTTCAAAAAACCGAAATCGACTCTTTGGGAACATTAGAAAAACAAATATTTCTCGGAAACATTAAAGAAGAAGATTTTTTCAAATGAATTATTTAAACTTTTTTAAATAAAAGAATGTAAGTATATGAAATTCTCAATATTTAAAAAATGTCACCCAATCTTTTTTTTCGAAAGTTATTGTACGTATACATATATTGCCTAGCAAGAATCACTATCTTTTATATTTATGTATATATCGAACGTATATAAATTAGTAAAAAATGTACATTTGTCCATATATAAATTTGTCTCTTTTAGCAGAAAAATGAGTAAATACAAGTATATACTCAATACTTTTTGGTTGGTATCGGTCTGGTATCGATACTTAAAAGATAAAATACTTCCAAGTAAAAGTATCGATACCGAAGGGGTATCGGCACAACCCTAAAAGTAATTGTCTAGCTGTCGAAATCTCGACGCCATCTTTGTTGTAAAAACCTAGTAGAAATCGGTTGTATGCATTCTTGAAGGATGCTTGCTATATGAGTGAATTAGTGTGAACAATTCATGCGTAGTCATGAATTTCCACGAATAAATTCAAATTCTAGCGAACTGCAAGCAAATGTACGTTGTCGTTGTTTTAAGTACATTTCTTGATAAATTTGAAGTGGCATTTTTGTAATATTTTCAGTCTTGTACAAAAATTTTTGTGAACGGACGTTTTGTGCGATACTATTTTCAGCACAAAAGGGGTTTTTACAATATATGCATTTGCATATGTAAGTGCTAATTGTTTGTATGTCTCCGTATATTAAAATGTATCAGAAAAGTAGCATTTACATATGGGGATCTTGTAAGAATGTTTTAATACTGCTCCATTAATGTATTTTTGTATGTTTGAAACATTAATAAAGCCATATGCATACAGCAGTAGTACAAGTGTATGATTAAGGTACGCATACGCTCTGAGAAACCACGCGTGTTAAATGGAAATGAAGGTTCATTTATAATGGCATGTATACACAGCAGCAAGCTCATGCCACCAACAGCGATGTTGTATGCTTAATATCTCTACTGGGAAGTAAACAACGAAGAGAACGAAGAAAACCGCGTAATTGTTGAACGCATGAATAACCCATGATGCAGTAATACAAGGTGTTATCGGCTGGCAGCTTCTTGCTCTAATTCCGCCATATTGACTGCCTTAGGTGAGACAGTGTTACTTCTTTAACAATTATTTGCCTAATAATATATTTAGTTGAATGTTTTTTATTTTTTCTCAGTATATACATTTTTTTCTTAAAAAGGTATTTTATCTTATTTTATTTTATTTCATTACGAATATACTATAAAAAAGCAAATTTTGTTTAGGAAAAAATGTGAAATTTTGTATTTTTCCCCCAAATGGGGCTTAATTTCTTCTCGTTTTTTCTCATTCTACTGAGATAAGGCAGTGTCAAATCGAGCTATCACAACTGATACCACCTTGTATTACTGCATTATGTGAATAATCATTTTTATTATACATATTTTTCTATAAATCATGTCGCTGTGTTAAATTACTCTTTACCTTGTACACACGTTGTCACAAGCGAAAATGAAGAAAATTCCAGTAAAAAGCCACCACCAAATTGTAAGCAACGAACAAATTGTGGGGAATGAAAAACCCACGTATGAATTTATTCAATTAAATCTTTATTTCAATCACTTAAATTCTAATAAAAACTATATCAAAAATTATCACGTATCTTATGCGTGTTGCACGTAGAAAAAGCCAGAAAGTTCTAAATGAACTCCCTAGAAAAACTCGTAACTGGACTCTAACTGCCAGCGAAGAGCGAGATCAAAAAGGAATTACAAAAGGTGTCAAATAAGATGTAGAGTTGCCAGATGTTGGAATTGTATGTCGAGTCCCCACACTACTCCCCCCCCAGTGAGGGCTTTAACTGGGTAGCAGTTAAAGTCGAATGTTATTTGCAGGCCTATGGTGTACTTCGTGTTGCAGTGGCAGGCTCGTTGTTGTTGCTGGCTGTTGCGGTGCGTTCGGCTTGTTGAATACTCGTCTGTGCGATGTGCTGCCGAAAACGTCGTCACTTGCCAAATGCGCTGGTTTAAGCCGTTCAATACTAACGTTAATCTCCTTGCCGTTAACGTCAATCGTAAATACTCGTTCGTCTATGCGCTTAACAACCCTATGCGGGCCGGAGTAAGGGTGATCGAGTGGTCGTCTGACTGCGTCGACTCTCATGAAGACGTGAGTGCACGTGGCCAAATCCTTGTGGCAGAATGTCTTCTGTCGGCAATGGTGAGTAGTAGGTGCTGGTCTAATCTTCCGCATATATGTACGGAAGTCCTCAAGGAAAGAATTTGTGTCCACTGTTGGATCTCCGTTCGTAAAGAACTCGCCAGGGACTCGAAGTGTGGTTCCGTAGAGATATTCCGCGGGCGATGCTTTGAGCTCTTCTTTAAAACACGTTCTCAGTCCCAACAAGACAGAAGGTAACGCTTGTGTCCATTGAGGGATTTGGTGGCACATAATAGCCGCTTTTAAGGTCCGATGCCATCTCTCGACTAGTCCATTAGCTGCCGGGTGGTACGCTGTCGTTCGGATTCGTTTGCCGCCAATCAAACGCGAAAGCGCGCTTTCGAACTGCGTGCCTTGGTCAGTCATGAGCAGTTTGGGGCATCCGAAACGCGCTATCCAATGAGAGAAAAAGACGTTGGCGACCGTGTTCGCTGTTATGTCTCTGATCGGGATCTCCTCAGGCCATTTGGTGAAGCGGTCTATCATCGTCATGCAGTACTTGAATCCCTGGGACTCTGGCAAGGGTCCGACTAGGTCCAAGTACACGTGGTCGAACCTTTCATCCGGGATAGGGAATGGAGCGGGCGTCGTATGAACGTGGCGGCTTACCTTGGAGCGCTGACACGGAACACAGTTGCGGGTCCATTGCGTGACATCCTTGTTCATGGATGGCCACACATACCGTTGAGCGATTATTTTGACGGTGGCCCTGCTGCCTGGGCGTGCCAAGTTGTGTAACGCCTCGTAGACCCTACGTCGCAGCTGGAGGGGTACAAAATGTCGGATGTTGCTTGTAGAAACGTCGCAGTATATTATTAGCCGGCTGGCTCCAAACGTAAGAGTCTGTAGTTTGAGCGATGTCTCATTGCAAACTAACAACTGTTGGAGCTCGTCGTCCGATGCTTAGGCACGCGACAATTCCTCGTAGCTGATTACTTCCGGGAGGTGCATGGTTTCAATGCGAGAGAACGTATCTGCTACATTGTTGTCGGAACCGGAGATGTATTGGATACTGGCTGGTAACCTGGCTGATTAATCCTAGCTGCCTTATTTGACGAGGAGATGACTTATCCGAATTTTGGCGAAAAGCGTAGATAAGCGGTTTATGGTCGGTTCTTATCACGAATTCGCGACCTTCGACCCAGTGGCGGAAATTTTTAATTGCTTCGTATACGGCAGTTAACTCCCTATCGTACGTGCTATAATTCTGTTGCGCGGGCGATAGCTTCTTGGAAAAAAATCCGAGCGGTTGCCACGTGTTGTTGTACTCTTGTTCCAGCACTGCACCTATTGCGGAACTGGACGCGTCGCATGTGACCCGAATCCTAGCGGATGTCGAGGGGTGCGCCAAGAGCGTGGCGGCTGCGAGCTGCTCTTTGATTGAAGCGAAGGCGCTTTCCGAGTCTGCTAACCAAGGTACTGGTCGGCGGTCATTTTTTTATTCTTTTAAAAATTCATTAAGTGGCGTTAAGATGCTAGCGGTGTTCTTAATATGGCGGCGATATAAGTTAACTGCTCCAATAAACCTTCTCAAAGTCGCGCAGTGACTTCACTCGATCTGGCAATGGCGCTGAGCCATGAGCTGTGATGCGGTACCCCAAAAAATCGACGGTAGCTGAACCCAATAAGCACTTATCCACGTTAATACACAGGCCGAACTCGCTGAGACGCTGGAACACCGAGCGGAGATGATGCTCGTGCTGCTGCTCGCTGTTTGACGCTATGAGCAGGTCGTCGACGTATGCATAAACGAAATCGAGCCCGGATAGGGCTTCGTTTATGAACCGCTGGAACGACTGGGCTGCATTGCGAAGTCCGAACGGCATGCTGACGAACTCGTAAAGGCCGAACGGGGTTATGACAGCTGTCTTGGGGACGTCCCCTTCTGCCACCGGTATGTGGTGGAAAGCGCGCCGAAGATCAATGGTGGAAAAAATGTTCTTACCTGCTAAAATATCAGCATAGTCATGCAGAAGCGAGATTGGGTACCGGTCAGGGATCGTTTGCTCGTTTAGCCTACGGTAGTCGCCGCATGGTCGCCACTCACCGTTCTTTTTCCTCGCCATGTGTAGTGGGCTAGCCCAAGGACTACTGGAAGGCATGGCATGTCCTAGCTCGACCATAAGTCGAAATTCCTCTTTGGCCACTTTGAGGCACTAGGGGCGTAATTGGCGTACACGTTGTACGCATGGTGGTCCAGTGGTTGGAATATAATGCTTGACTGAGTGCTTGGTGGCCGTGCTGTTGGACGGGTTTCCAAGCAGCTCAGGGAAATCTCGCTGAGTTGGGGTCTATGATGCACCCTCGTCTGAGGTCCACTAACAATCCATACTCGTGAATTAGGTCTGCGCCGATTATTGGATACGGCACATTCGCTATGCAGAAAATCCAACGAATCGGTCGACGGAGCCCGATGTCTATCTCCAATGCTTTCTCACCGTACGTGTCGATGACAGTGCCGTTGGCAGCCTGGAGTCGAAGTTGCGTTGGCGTCAGCTTGATTTTACGATGGGGTGGAGTCACGGAAATATCCGCGCCGATGTCGACGAGGTATTTCGTGCCAGTTGTGCGGTCGAAAACGAATAATTGGCGGGGGTTTAACTTGTTAACTTAAGTAACTTAAGTAGTCGCCGAAGCTTCTGAGGCTTGCTTGAGTTTCCCTGACTCTGAATAAATGCGCATGGTTGCGTGCATCTGTTAGCCCGCATGCCAAACCTATGATGATAAAAGCACACCGTTGGCGTGCTGTTGGTGTTCAAGTTTTGCGGCTCATTCGACGTATTGCTGGGTGTTTTCACCTGCGTGCGGTTGTCTGCGAAGGCCGCTTGGTTTAACGTTTTTGCTACCTTCTCCAACTGCTTTGCTAGTTTATCGATTTGGTCAAGTGAAACATTGCTTTCATTGGCAGCTGCGGCATAACATACCGGTTACCAGTATCGCGCTGGACCTCCATCAAACGGTTGGCCAGCAGAGCGAGTTTTGCATTGTCAGGTTCGTTTGAGACAGCAAGTGCCAGTTGCACCTGAGGTGGGAGTCGATCGAGCCACATAAATCGAATGAATGCGGCATCCAGTTTGTTTCCGCCCAGCCTATTAATTTCTGCGAGAAGTTCCGAAGGTCGTCGGTCACCCAACTCCAGACCCGATAGCAGCATCATCAATTTGCGCTCCTGTGAAATACTGTAATGATTCACTAGAACTTGCTTTAGCGCGGCATACTTATCAGTTTCAGGAGGGCTTGTAATAATACCCTCTACAATGATGAGTGCATCCTGATTAAGGCGACCGACCACTGCGTAGTATTTGGTTGCATCGGCAGTAATTCTCCTCAGTTGGAACTGGGCCTCGACCGCGATAAACCACAATTGCACTTGTTGCGTCCAAAATGGTGGTAGCTCAAGGCGCTCGAACTTATCGACATGTGCAGCCTGTTGCTGTGGCTGTGGAACAGCGATTGCTTCGAAGGGCTCCTCTGATGCGGCTCCATTTTGTGATGCTGAGCCATTTTCCTTGCCGTCCGGGGAGTTTACCTGATCAGTGTGCATATTGACCTGGTTGCACTGACAATAATTTGCTTAAAATTGTCGGGGTCACCATTTATGTGGGGAATGAAAAACCCACATATGAATTTATTCAATTAAATCTTTATTTCAATCACTTAAATTCTAATAAAAACTATATCAAAAATTATTACGTAATTTATGCGTGTTGCACGTAGAAAAAGCCAGAAAGTTCTAAATGAACTCCCTAGAAAACTCGTAACTGGACTCTAACTGCCAGCGAAGAGCGAGATCAAAAAGGAATTACAAAAGGTGTCAAATACGATGTAGAGTTGCCAGATGTTGGAATTGTATGTCGAGTCCCCACAAAATGTAAACAAACGGCTAATGTCAAAATCTCCCAACTCTTTTCCTAAATGCGATTATAACGGGCTACTGGCTTGCTGGCGTGATCTTGTATTTTTAGTTCATGTATGTGCGCTGTGAATGTTCTGCTTATATGTACATATCTACGCAGTATACAAATGACTGGAGTATGTGGGTAAGCATTTCGTATGTTCATCAGCGTTGCCATAAGTCAGGATTTATCTTAAAAATTAAAATTTTTTTGGGCTGTTTTTTATGAAAAATCTTTAAAAAAGATTTTTTAAAAAGCAAAATTTTACACTGAAAATATATTCAAAATGAAGATTTTTGTGTATGATGTAATATTTTTAATGTTTAAGTTAAAATTGTTAACTTATTTATATTATCCTTGCTACATCATTGTAAGCAGCAAATTAAGGAAGAAGAAAAATGAAATACGAAATCCCCTACAATATTATCTGCCTTCTTCTCTCACACAGTAAAACATATACTCTAGTGCAGAGCTAGAGAGTGGAGGAAAAGAACAAACGGTCTTTTGTATCCCCTCTAGTTTAATTGACAACAATGGAAAATTTCAAGTAAACTGCCATTTGCTGATGGGTCTACATGGATAAATGTATAAAGAGAAAAAAGGGGCGTCCATGTAAAAATATCAATAAAAAATCGAATTAAAAAGCTCAAAATTGTTATAGAACTTTGTCGAATTATCTTAACTTTTGTACAAAGATTCAAGTTTGGACTTATGGTTTTTGATAGATAGCGAGCTATTCTTTCATAAAAAAAAACAAGTAATTTTTAAACAAACAAGTAAGAAAGTCTAAGTCCGGGCGGCGCCGAACATTAAATACCCGGCGCAAGTATTTAATATATCACTTTTACCTTTCCGAAAGCTACCGCTACATGGTAAGCCGGGGCGTATCAATTTTGAGTAAATTAGAGGCCTTAAATTTCGAAATTTTGAAGTTTCAAGCAGTTCTGAAATTTACCGTAATATGAAAAGCGGCCTCAATTTTAGTCCGATTTCAATAATTTTCAGCATTTTGCTTTTATGTGCCTAGCACAATAACCATACCGAGTTTGGTACAAATTGGTGGAACGGTTACCGATATACATATATGTGATCATAAGTGGGCGGTGCCACGCCCATTTTCCAAAACTTTACCATAAACGTATTTCTTGATAAAGAGTTGTTGTAAGCATCAATTTTGAATAAATTAGCTTTAATGTTTACTGATTTATCGAAGATATTGTATTTCTCAAAAATAGCGTTATATAGGATGTGGGCGTGGTTATTGTCAGATTTTAAAAATTTTCGGCCATTTGGTATGTTGTGCGAAGGCCAACAACTGTAACAAGTTTGGAAAAGATTGGTGCAGCGGTTACCAAGATATACACATGTAACTATAAGTGGGCGTGGCTGCGCCCATTTACCAAAGATTTATAATATTCTTATTTCTCGCCTGAAAATTATTGTAAATTTCAATTTTGAGTGAATTATCTTCAGTAGTTACTAAAATATCGCAGTTTTCGTATTTTTGGAAATTACCGTTATATGGGATGTGTGCGTCGTTATTGTCCGATTTTATAAATTTTCGGCTGTTTGGTATATTGTGGGAAGGCC